TTATACTTTAAGTTCTAGGGTACATGTGCATAACGTGCAGGTTTGTTACATATGTATACTTGTGCCATGCTGGTGTGCTGCACCCAACATTATATATTTTTAAAAGAATGTCTCTATATAATTCTTATTTACCTGCCAAACATTTGATGAATGCCTACCATGCATACTGGGTATCACGCTAGTAGTTCCAAACAGAGAAATAAATAAAATAGCCCCTAATCTCAAGAGTCTTACTATCTAGTCAAATATATAGAAATTAAATTAAAAAGTGAAATAAGTTCAAAACAAATACACATGCAATGTAAAAAAGTATCACGGAGGGAGAAGGAATTCATTCTCCTTACTATACGGTGTCAGGGAAGTTTCCTAGACTAAATGACATCTGAAATATCTGTTTCTTTTTTTTTTTTTTTGAGAGGGAGTTTCACTCTTGTTGCCCGGGCTGGAGTGCAATGACACGATCTTGGCTCACTGTAACCTCCGCCTCCTGGGTTCAGCCTCCTGAGTCGCTGGGATTATAGGCGTGTGCCGCCACGCCCGGCTAATTTTTCTTCTTTTTGTATTTTTAGTAGAGACAGTGCTTCTCCATGTTGGTCAGGCTGGTCTCGAACTCCTGACCTCAGGTGATCTGCCTGCCTCGGCCTCCCAAAGTGCTGGGATTACAGGCGTGAGCCACCGCACCAGGCTGAAATGTCTTTTGAAAGGTGAAGAGGACTCTGTCTGGTTGATGGGGTACGACAATAGGGAGGAAGGGGTATTTTGGGTAGAGAAGATAATATGATTCCTTGTGTCACAAGCAACCAGCTAGATGCATTTGGAAATTACGATCTGGTACTACCTGAGCGTGAAATGGAAGAACGATGACCAGTTGGAATTGTGGTTAGAGAGGGAGATAACATCTGTTTACTCAAATTGTGCAGATATATTTCTGTACACAATAGTTCACTTATCTAAAGGTTTTAATATAAAATAGTATTTTTGAATTATGGAGAGGAAAAATGGTGGATCAGGATTACAGGCAGAAGAACTGGACATGAAAAGTAAAAGCAGGAGGCCACATCAACAATCAAGATCAGATTGAACCTTGACCTTAGAGTGAATTAATTTCATTAAGGGCTCACTCATCTAATTTAAGCACATTTTAGGTAATTTTAACCTAGATTGACTAATATTTGAACGAGTCTCTGTCTCAAAATACTCTAGTATGTCCTGTCCCTAAATACTCATACTGCTTTTATTCTCTCAGGTCTTGCCTCTTTCTCATCAGGGCTATTCCAAATTGTCAACTGTGGTTCTGACACTACACTTATTTTTTTTTGCTATCTACTCTTTCTTCACTTGACAGATTCCCAAAGAATGTATTATGTTCCTTAAGTAACTGTCTAGTTTTCTGTCACAGAATCAGTGACAGCTTTCTTTTTTTTTTTTTCCCGAGACAGTGTCTTGCTCTGTCGTCCAGGCTGGAGTGCAGTGGC